GGAGAAGAGAAGGCTGCGGGGAGACCTGATTGCGGCCTTTCAGTACCTAAAGGGGGCCTATAGGAAAGACGGGGAAAATCTTTTTAGTAGGGCCAGCAGTGACAAGACAAGGGGTAATGGTTTTAAACTAAACCAGGGTAGGTTTAGACTAGATATAAGGAAGAAATTCTTTACAATGAGGGTGGTGAAACACTGGAACAGGTTGCCCAGAGAGGCAGTGGAGGCCCCATCCCTGGAAACATTCAAGACCAGGTTGGACGGGGCTCTGAGCAGCCTGATCTAGTTAGCGGTGTCCCTGCTCCTGCAGGGGGGTTGGACTAGATGACCTCTAGGGGTCCCTTCCAACCCAAAACATGCTATGATTCTATGAAAAACATTAAGTAATGATGTACTTGAGCTTACTTTTGCTTATATAATAGAGTGTTATGCAGGCCATGTTTAATCTGGAAGTTGTGTGTCCTCGAATGTTTAGTTAAGATGATCTTTAACAACTAGAGATTTAATCATTGATTTTTAACAAGTATGCGCTTCTTGAATATAATATTCAAATTCAAAGGACAGTAATCACACATAATTGAAAAAAATCATATAGAATATCTAAATATATGAAAATAATTTCTCTTTCCTGAATTACCACTTCATTGTCCCGGTTTTACCAATCTTATACTTGTTTTACTTTAGTTTTAGAGGAAAAATTCCTTTTAAACTTACATTCTTCAGATTTGTACTGACTTCAGTGTTTGAACAGTACTGGTAAAACAATTTATTCTGCACTTCATTGTCTTCAAGGGGAAATCCGGTTTCAAAATATGTTTAGTATTTGAGCTTCATCTACAGGTTGTCATTGTATAGTAGACATAAAACTGATTTGACTAATTTATAAATCAGAATAATTGTTTTGGCTTTTCTAGATATTTTGTGATGTTGAACAAATGTTTGTTCAAGTTATCACAGATAACCAAATTCAAATGAGTACCTATGCCTTTCCATTCCACAAAGAATTGGTCGTCTTTTTACACAGTAATTTAGGTGCATGTAACCAGAAGAGATTATCAGGGAACTGACCAGAACATTTCTCACTTTTTATCATTTCCCTGGTGAAAAGTCATTCATTAAGGCAAAACCTGACCACTTTCAAATTCTAGCTTCCTAACATTTGTTAAGTTAGTGAAGTTATGATCTTAACCTAAGTGACTTATATTTTAAAGGAATTAAACAGTTCATTGATAGTTCATCGATAAAATATTGTCCCAACTGTTTGTGTTGTACTCTTACAGATGAAGTGCTACCTATTCCACAGGAAATCTGTTTCCTATATTTATTAAGAAGTAGTGCGACACTGTTAATAATACAGGCTCATTTCTGACAATCATGAAGAGAAGTACACTGACAAATTACTGGAAGTTGAAGGCAATACGTAGCAGCAGAACACAGGAGAAGATATTATTCTCTGTTATCCTAATGAGAATGATAATACAGTAAACAAAAAGAAACACATGTACATAAATTAAAACCACCTTATCTTCTAATATTAAATACATGAGGAGATTGGGGAAAATGTTCATTTTCTAAGCAACTTTGGCCAGATTAACTCACTATTAAAATGAAGGGGATATTTGCTGCTGTGTATGTGAACTGGCTTTGGTCTTTAATGCTACTTTTCAGATTAAACAAACTAGATGTAAATAATCTCATTATCTTCTCAGCTATGGAATTCAAAACCTCAGTCTGTAAGACACCAAAATTCTACCTTGAATCTTATTTATAATCTTATTATTGATCTTAATTATTAATCTTAATATTTATCTTTAAATGTTACCTAAACTATTAATAGAACTTTCTTAGGGTTTGTATTATGATACAATATATTGGAAGAAAATAGCCTTTCTAACTCAAACTTAATGTGATCTTTACAGAACAGCCCCATGGGAAGCTTTTAGACAACTAACTGGAACCAAGCAGACTTTAAACAGGTGAACATTTTATTTTAGGGGGAAAAGTTAAATATGGAAAAATGTTCTTTTCTAATTACATTTCTAGTTCTGCTATTTTACGCCTAGCACACGGTTTGTTAATACTGTTGCAGTAAAAGTGGTTTACTTATTTCCATCTTGAAACAAAATGTTTCTTCTCTGAGGGTGGAGAAGAATGGTAAATTGAAGAAAAACGGAAATTGTGTTAAGGTATTGACAATGTATAAATGAACACAAAGAATATATGCTAGTATCTTGAGATCTTGGCTCCAAGTGGCAAAATACAGAGCACATTTGTCCGTTTATGTCTTGTCGACATATATATAGATGTGTGTGTATACATGCATCCGTTATATCCAGTAAAACTCATGCAGACAGAACATTGTTTCCCCATGAAACAATGCAAAGTACGAAGTTCACAGAAGACCCAAGTCTAACAGTCCATTTGGAAAAGAACATTAGCTGCATATAAAGGATGATATGCTTAATATGGTTAAAGGAATTATTTTCTCACACTAGAGAAAAGAAGGTATATACTTGTCATAGTATACAAGGCACAGTAACTAAAATGTCCATAGGGGAAATGCTGAAGAAAATCAATAAGCAAATGCAGGAAAAAAAAAAATAAAATCTTTCTTACAGTTAAAGTGACCAAAGTCACATGGGTCTCTCCTACATAAGTTATTTTTAATGATTCTTTACCTACTTTGAAGAGGAACCAGACAATCTGCCATGGAGCATCTGAAGAGACTGTTTTTATGTATAGAATGAGCATACTGTTGGTTTCACCTGTCATCTTTATATTGCAATAAATCTACTTACTATGGTGTGAATTTAAAGTAATTCAGCCATATGTCTCTTGATATTAAAGTACATAATCTTATGTGCCTATTACTTAGCAGAAAATGCTCTTTAATTCATTAAAATAATCTCTGTACTTACAGTATTACCAAGCTTTGATCTCAAATGTTTCTTTCAGATTAGCCTATGGGACCTTTTTAATAGACATTTGTAGATTCTATTGCCATGAAACACTGTTCTGATTACTAAGAATTTTACATTAAGTTTTAAATTATTCTCTTTATCTGTACATGTTTCAGGGAGAGTCAGCAATCACCAGAACAATGGCAGAAAATGTATGGCAGATACTCTGGTAATGAAGTGTATCATATTAACCTGGAAGAAAGTACTTTTTTTGCTGAGTATGAGGGGAAAAGCTTCACATATGCTTCTTTCCATGCACATAAAAAGTATGTTTATTTTCCTATAAACAACTAAAAGTTCAAACAAATAATTATTTGCTTTGCCTGCAACGTAGTTCTGCATTCAAAGGTGCAGTATTACACATTACTCTCTTTCTGGGTTTAAATATCTGGCCACTAATAAATTTCATGGGTATTTTTCTGTAAGTTACAGCTGGTCAGGTAAAAGCTCATGTTTGTTCTGTATAAGCCAGCTCCGTCTGAGAGAACAGAATATAAAAGATATATAGGATAAGCCTGACAACCAGAAAAAATTGCACCTTAGAGAGGTTATATGAGAACACCAGTGCCTTTTGATGTCCAAAACAATCTAGAAAATGATAGATGGGAGGCCGTTAGTTTAATTTTTTTGTTATTTATTTAGGAGTCAGCTGGAAAACTGGCTTCCTTTGTGGCATGTTCATTTTATGCAAAATGTTCGATTTAAAGGTGGTACATGCTACATTGTGGTGATTGTTCAAAATAAAACCATATTTTTTTCTGTTAGATGCTAACATATCTTATTAGGTTACAGATCATGCATCACCTATTCAGTACTTGTCTGCTAGGTGAACATACAAACATCATGTATATTCGTAAATATTTAACAATACGAACATATGTCAAACCCTGAACACTGAGTTTATTCTCATGCTTAATAAGTGAGAGAAATATTTTACTTATTTTCTCTCACTAATGAAACACATTTCTAGGAGTGAATCACAAAAATGAATTCTGAAAATGGTTTCTATTACATATGAATAATGGAACAATTTAACATGATGAATACTTCTTCATATTATATATCCATTCTTATTTTTCCCAGAAGGGACTATTCATCTGATAGAAAAAAATCAACTGGAACAGCATTAGAAGAATATTATGGGGATTAAGAAAAATGCTGGATTCAGATGCCTAGGGATCCATAAGCTCATAAAAACTGCTTGATCAGAAGTGGCCTATTTAGGAGATAACATTTTTCAAGCATATTTGTCATCCAAAAATCTGCAAATGGTCATAATCTGCAAAATATAAAAATATGCTGGAAGTTCATTTTTGACACTGGAAATTCTGGTATATACAGGACTATGTGAAATGAACCATGCCTTTCCTTTTCTAATTAAGGTTTGGAGTCTGTCTGATTGGTGTTAGAAAGGAAGATAACAAAAACATTTTGCTGAATCCAGGTCCTCGATATATTATGAGTTCTACAGATATATGCTTTTATATAAATATTACCAAAGAAGAGAATTCTGCTTTTAAGAAGCAAGAAAAGCATAGAAAAAAACATGAATCAAAACTATCTTGTCATGGAGCTTCTAGATTACCCGTACACAGCATAATAGCTAGCATGGGTAAGTAAAAAAAAAAAAAAAAAAAAGCCTCACAACATATTCTTATTCAATGAATAGTGCATTCTAAAGCTTTTCATAGTGTATTCCTAAAATTGTAATTTAAATTAATATATAAAAAATTATAATACTGTGTGGAAAGAAAAAAAATATTTAACAGTGCCCTTGTATTTAAAAAAAAAAACCCACACAGAATTTGGTATTTGGTTATGTTTTTCTTTTACTTGACAACATGGAATTAAACCACTTAAGACTGTTGCATAAAAAAGTAATAATAAAATGTATGCAAAGCAAAACAATTGGGCAAAAATCACAAGTAATTTCTCTGTCATTCATAACTGGTTGTTTGTAATAAGTTTTCATAAGCTTCTTTAATTAAAAAAGTGCCCTTGCTCAATAAAAACCTACAGGTTGTTAATGCATATATATATATATGGGTTAATTATATAAGGTATGATTTTTAAAAAGGTAGTTAACAAGTATTAGCAGTCAGAAAAAGTGCTACTTCACAGGAAAGTGTTTCCTCAGGTATAGTTTAAATATTTGTTATATTTTAATGCAACAAACACAATCTATATAGTATTCCTTTCAGTCTTTGGCTATGTAGTCAGGTAATCCCAGCTAAATATGGGAATCTCATTCAAATGTTTTGACAACCACATTGAGAAAATGCTTTCAATGCTACTTCAGGGACAGTGGCTATTGATTTACAAGATACAGGATGCCGAACATCCAGCGGACCTACACTAGCTCTTCCTTCTGAGGGAAGTAAAGAGGGCAGACGGCCCAGTATAGCACCTGTTCTGGAGGTTGCAGATTCTTCCTCACTTCAGACGTGTGACCTGCTAAGCGACCAGTCAGAAGATGAAACTACCCCGTCAGATGATGAAGTCTCTGCAAGCTTAGAGTATGTATATTTTAAATATAAAATAAACAACATAACTTGAAAAGCTAATATTACGTAAATGGCATGGATAATTTATTGACATGCAGATCAAGCCAAGCAGTTGTAGCAAGCGTAAAGGCCAATTATGGAATTATTTCCTTTTATGAAATGCTGTTGTCTGTTAGAATGCCATCATGCCTATTTTGAAATAAAAACACCCCAAACAGATTAACACCTCCATTTGCTGGAGATTTTCTAGACTCAGTTATAAAGATCTAGTTGTGTATTGCTATTTTTTAATAGCATTTTTAATGACCATTTTTCTTACATTTTATAGTTATAAAGACAAGACTCAACTAATTTGTAAACTGATAAGTACTTTTGTCCTGAGAATGCAGTGATAATCAGATCAGTCAACAGGCTTATTGAATGCTGGGGGGCTAGGTGTCTGACTTCCAGATGTAGGAATGACAAAAAAAAGCAGTATAAGACAAAATTATTACATCTAATTTAAAATGCTTGTTAGCATGTTACTGGAAGTAATGATGCATTACTCAGGTAAAAACAGAAGATTCAATCCTGTAACTGCCTTGCAGATAAGTGATTATGTTTATTGGGATTACTGACAGGGATGTTAGAACTGAAATACACAATTAAGCAAGTGGCTCAGCTAGCACAGTTTCCCATCTCCAACAGGGGCAAGCATGAGAAACCCCAGGGAAAATCATAAAGCACCAATGAAAAAAAATAATAAACAAGTTATCCTAAATCTGCAGACTGAAATACCAGGATTTAAAAGACCTCTTACTAAAAACTAAGGCCAATTAGAAATTTCATCTCCTCAGCAAGAGGATTTGTCATTTAAAATTTATTCCAACCATGTTGAAAATATGTTATTAAAGCAAGAAGGTAATAACCTCACTCATTTCTTGTAAGTGTCTGAAAGAAAAGTGGAGAAAGAAGAGTACCACAATTATTTCTATTTTCATTCCTTAAAAGTTTCCCAGTACATGTGTTCAAAACACTAGGACAGCACACTGTGATACATCAGCCCATTTCCAAAGATGCCTATACAAAAAAACCCAAGCAAAATTCCTTTAGTCCACAAAAGCATGATAGCTTTCACTAAATGGTATCGAATTGGTCAAAGCTGCAAAATACATTCCTTTGATCCTTATTAAACATAGTTCATTTAATTTACCTATTAATTTACCTATTAAATTACCATTTAATAGACTCTGCTAGTCTACAGATAACTGCAAAACCTAGAGATAAGTATAAACATCCCATAAAATATATAGTCAACTGTGTTTCAGCAATCTGCTATACTGAAAAACGTCTGTTCTATTCTCCTAGGTATGCCAAAGGCTATCCTCCTTACTCTCCATATATTGGAAGCTCTCCCACATTTTGTCATCTTCTGCATGAAAAAGTACCATTCTGTTGTCTAAGACTAGATAAGGTAAAAGGAGTTTCTGTTACTGGATAAAACTGCATTCTCATTTGTCTCTTGCATCTGAACAGAGTTAAATTCTGGTTTCTGCTTAGAGATTAGGTTTGTTCAGCACTAAGCTGTATGTTTTCTCATCCTTTTCGTCACCAAACGTTTGTTTACGTCTAATCAGATCTATATCAGGTCATCTGATACAATTTTCTATTTCTAATGGTAAAACACTTTAATGTCCAGCTAAAACCAGCTAAATCAGCTAACCAGCTAAAACCAGCTAAAACTCTTTATTCATATCCACTGAACTTCTTTCTTATTTTGATTTTAGGGATGCCAACATAACTACTATGAAGACGCCAAAGCTTATGGATTCAAAAATAAATTGATTATAGTTGCAGCAGAAACTGCTGGAAATGGCTTATATAATTTTATTGTTCCACTCAGAGCTTATTACCGACCAAAGAAAGAATTAAATCCCATTGTATTACTCCTGGATAACCCGTAAGTAGATTTTAATTTTTTTTTTTGTTGTGATACATTTTAAACTCATTTTACCATTACTTAAATAGATGGTCACATATGGCCAACTTAAAATCAAAAACATTATGGCACACTTATCTTTGAGAAAAGCTGGTGACAAAAATAATACCCCGTGTTCACAGTCATATACAAAATTGACGTTTTATGGACTGTAAACAGCCATAGTAGAGTGAAACATCCTTATTCTTCATAAGCATTTCATAAAAAACACCCAAAATAATGTGAATATTACTGCTAAAATTAAATAACTTCATAAACAGTGTAAAAAGCAAACTAACAGTTTCACAGCTACATGACAGCACTTCAAACAGCACTAACCTACTTAACACAAGGCACTTAGTGGCCTGGACTAGTTAGGTATATTTTTAATAATTTTAGACTCTAAGGTAAACAGTTCTTTAAGCCAGAAGGACACTCACCTCCGCCCCAGACACACACACTTTGTCTACAATTATATAAAGTCTTGGAAGAAAATTAAAACCTGCAATATTGTTAACACCATATCTGTCTGGAGATCACTGGAATTCTTAGCCTTTCTTGCATTAGCTGTTTAAAATTCCAGACAAATTCTTCACTGGCACAATTGATTCATTTATAATCTGACAATGAATGAAACACACTTTTTTTTTTTTTTGGTGCAACACTTTGGTACTGCTCAAGTACTTAAAATAAGTTTGGAAGACACAAAAATGGAGGTTAGCCATATACAGAAAATTAGATCAAACTATGACTCAAAGAAATGACAGCAGGAGAAATTTCTTACAGGTCCTGACTCCAGGCCGACACTTCCCTTTGCATATATATGCTGTAGTTTAAGTGGTTTATTATACAAAAGCCTGCTATGAGTTGTCCTGCTTTTTCCTCAGACAGCTCTTTAGTGAAGCTGTATACACCTGTGTTTGCAAAACAGAAGCTTTTTTACGTACATGTTATGGCAAAAAGCGAATCACACAAATCAGTAAAAGCCTAAGTTAGGCTAACCGACTTCTGACTTTTGACTTTTTTAAGATTAGAGATGTGAGCATACAGTGCCCTCTAGTGCTTGTTCTCTTTTCCAGCTTAGTGCCTGCGTGTACATTTAATGCTGTTGTGACATTTATGGCTAAACCTACTTTTTATCAGCACAGAGTAAAAAGATATAGTTGCTAATTAAACTAATACCCTTAGTGTTGCCTCTCTCTACACAGCATTTGCAATGACTCCTCTGAAATGCCAGCATTCAGGGGACCACAGAAGCTAGCTGAAAAGCCAGCCTGCTTTTCATGCATGCATGAGGTAGAATTCAGGCTGCTGTTCAAGTCAATTGGAATTTTGTAATTTACTTCATCAGACTTAGGAATTCAGCCACCTTGGATGAACATATCTGTGCCTTGTTGTTATATTCCTATTTTCTTTATTTATCAAGGCAATTTATTACAGTATGCCTATTCTGATATCTACATATCATGTGGCTTTTAAGATTTGTGATGTTTCTTGGTATGTAAGAAGGAACACCATAAAATTTATGATTAAAGAAATAATGCAATCAAAACCACTATCTTACTTTTCACATTCCATTTTAAAAATAAGGTTTCATCTAAGACTGTCTCATTGACTTGAATGGAGCTGTTGGCACCAAAACCAAATGATGACTGGGTTTCCACTTCACATTTTAATTGAAAATTCTCACTGCTTATTTTAAATACTCCTAAGTCATGCACTGGAGTATAACTTGGTAGTGTGTCTTTGACATCTTATTCTTATATTATTGCGTTCATTTTGTACTGTGCCATAAAATTTCTGATTTAAGAGGTGCATTTATTAATATAAGCATGTTAATTCTGATCATTCTTTATGATCACAGCAAACCGTCAATTCACAGCTTTCTGCAAACCTACTTCCTGTTTAAAGTGATATTATACTGCCAAATTTTTAAAAAGTTGTTTTTTTAAAAAAAGCTACCAGTTTATTGAAATATTTTAGAAGAGATGCTGCTGTTGTGATACTGTGTTTCATTTTGTAATCCCATCTGCTGCTTAGGCCAGATATGCATTTTCTGGATGCAATCTGTTGGTTTCCAATGGTTTACTACATGGTGGGCTCTATCGACAAGTAGGTGAAATAACTGTTAGAAAACTTAACCTTGTAGTGCTCAGTGGTTTGTTGTGTGTATCGTCATTGCATGTTTAAGTGTGTGTTGTATTTGAAGATGATCTTTTTGCATGCATGGTTGTTGTCTGTGTGCTATAATTTGGGATTTCAAATTTCTAACTTATAAAAGATATAATTAGTGAAAAGTATTGACAGGGAACACAGGTTAATATCTTCAAAAACGTAAGATTAACACCTATTTAGGTACATGAATATGTTTCTACAAATTGCCAGATTATAGCCCTGATTCTAATGTCATTCTATACTTAGTTATAATTTGTTTGGATTTACTCACTAGGGTTTTGTAAACATAGCTACAGAACGTAGACAGTACTGACAGTCTTTAATGTGTCCAACAGTATTCATCTTCCACTACTTAAAATATCACCTGCTCCTACATTTCTGTCTTCATCTCTGCTGATTCATATTTGTATATCTAGGTTTAGCAACATAGATTTAATTTAAAAATCAGGCAGGAACAAGAGAAAAGCAAGGGCTGATTAGCATTTTAGTAAACTCCTGTGTGTAGTGTCAATTTAAAGAAGAAAATTGTTTGCTTTGCTACATAGCTGATTTTGGTTTGGGGCTACAAGCCCATACTCATTCCCCAGACAGAAATCAAAAAACTCATTTCCTGCCCTGAATTAACAGAATCCAGTTTTTCAGTGAGAATTCTGGAGATTCAGTGTTCTTAATCTGTTGTAACAAGGGCTTTAATAGTGATACAGTTACAGATTTACCTTGGTGATATCATAGTCATTGTGAGATTTGCAAAGAATCTACAGAAATGTTTTTCACTTTCTACATTTCTTCCTCTAAACCAGAGTCTCAGGTTGTTAATATCTACTACTTTCTTAACAACAATTATAAAAAGAATTCATACCAGCAGAATAACTGAATTGACTTAACGTATCTGAGTAATTAATAACCCAAAGATGTTAACTTGTTTTTATTAACATGGAAAATTAAACTTTAATTAAATTTACTAAGTTTATTTCAAAAAGGAAATGACTAAATCCCCCCCAAAGGTCTTTTGTTTAGAACTGAATGCATAAAAAATTGAAGTGTATAGTCTTTGAAATAAGTGTTTATACAGAATTCTACAGTTTACAGTAATACTAGCATGAACTTCTGCATCTTTTCTGACAATACAATCGCTTTAATTCCTGATGCACTAACCAATCATATTGGGAGGCGGGGGTTGATATCTGTTTTCATCAATAACAAGACTTTAGTAAATACAGTTCATATTTATTCCCCATGTTTTCCTGAATGTGTTTTTAAATCATGTACAATTAATGAAAGTTGATCATCTTTAGCTAAGAACTACAATGTAAAATATGCGAAGTTTCATTTCTTATTTAATAGGTATAGAATACATTCCCAAAGCACCACCTACTACCTTTTAAGTATCTAATATATTTGTCATTTGGTCACCTGGCATGAAATGTCATCATCTTGGAGAGAAAACCATGAAAGGAGTCACTCTCATTTACCACCCTTTTCTGTTAGAAGTGGATGGCCTGCAGAAAAATAGCTTTACCAAAATTCATAGCTGGGATGAACTTCATCAAAATATGTCATCAACTAGTAGAAATCTACAGTCTTCAGGTATAAATGATGTGAGATCTGTAACTGAACAGATTTCACTGCTGTGTAGAAATCTATTCAGTATTAAGAAACCTACAGCTAGAGGTACCTGAGAAATAGAATTATAATACTTCTAAATGAGTATTTTTTTTAATTATTCAAAAATCAGTTGAATGTAACTGCTAAAATAAGTATAGTTGTTGAGCTTCTGAAACACTGAAATGCAGAAAATCTGGGTATTTCAGAATATGCTGCTATTTTCAGGGATCAGCTGAAAGACTGAAAAAGCAGAAATACAAATTACTCAGATAAAGGTTGGAGTTCTACTTGTGCACTGGAGTTGTTAATATAGATCATATAAAATACAGCCTTTCCTTTTTTTGTAATCAATCACCAGTGTTACTGCACAGTTTAAAGAATAATTATATATTTGTTTTGGAAGAACACATATAAGATAAAAAATAAATACTACAAATTCATAGAGTTTTCCTTATCCAAAATTTCAATAAGAATTTATAATAGGTTATGTAAACTTAGGAACCTAAGAAGATCATTGCTGAAAAGAAAAACTGTATCGGGAAAATTAAAACTTAATTGATATTATAGACTGCCAAATGAGAAGGAATTATAATGCCTGCCAAAACAGCTTTTCATCTTGGAAGCAAACAGAATGATACAAAAATTCAGTTTTGCAACTTCCCTTGGAAACCATGAAATTCACCCTTTCTTCTTATTTTCACTTAAAAATTGCTAGGTTCCTAGCAGTCTTTATCATTACGGAGAAGTTCTTTCTAAACTTTTCAAAAGGTGTTTATTTTCTATGGAAAATATTATTGTTAAAACAACAAACATGATTCATTTTTGGAAACAAAGCCATAAGGCATGATGGGAACTGTAACTCAGTTTGTCTGTGAGTGTTTTCAATGGTCAGGCTTCACAGGAAACACTGTCCAGTAGAGTGCAAAGTTTTTTTCTCATGTACAGCTGCTCCTAAAAGCACCATGAGAACAGTCGTAGATTAACCTACAGAAGGCATGCGTTAGATGTCCTGGCAGAACCTTTATAAGCATTTTGAAATTGAAATTTAATTGGGGGAAAGAGCAAACCAAAGCATGAATTTTGGTCTATTTATTGTCAAAAGTAACTGCAATGAAGCAAGTTGTTGCAGCATGTAAAGACAGCATGTCTTTCCAAGTAACCATTAAAGGCTTGTTTTAAAATGCTGAAACATTTATCAGTTTAGCAAAAGGAGAGGGACTGTAACAACCTACTGAAGTGCATTCTGTATGATGTCAAGGAAAAAAATTATCTATATTCTGTTATATCAATTAATTGCGATTATATACTTGATATAGATTATATTGGAAGTTGTGATATGTACATGGACATGAAGGGAACCAGCAACTCAGCCGGGGATCTGCAAATTCCAACCATCTCTAATATTTTAAGCGTTCCATATTTAAGTTGCTTGTTTCTTTCTCCCTCTTTCTCTTCACAAAAGCCTAGATGACTTATTAAGATGTGGGGTCACCTTTGCAGCTAATATGGTGGTGGTGGACAAAGAAAGTACAATGAGTGCTGAGGAAGACTATATGGCAGATGCTAAGACTATTGTAAATGTTCAAACACTCTTTAGGTAAGACATTTGTGCAATCTATCTATACATCTTCATTAATCATGAAATACTTAATGCCTTTCATACTTAGATAAGAAATGATTTTTTTGTTCTTTTTTCTAATTAAGTTTTCCCTTATATAAATTTCTCTCTTACATGGGCAAACCTTTTCCCACCCTGCTTAGCAATATATTCAGAGTACTGAGGTATTCTCCTGAACTCTCAGATGAAATTCTATGCATCTCAAAACCAGATGATCAGTTTAAAAGTCAACTGTCAGGTTTGCAGAAAGGAAAAGCAAGCTACTCTTGAAGACTTAGGACCAAAGATAGTTGAGAAAAGAAATTTTTCCTCAGTGCAACAGTCTTTCACAGTAATGCTAAAGGCCAGTATGAAAAGCAGATCCTTCTAAAAGGTAAGCAATGCATCACTATGAAATTAGTAGTAAGTGTTCACATTTTGAATATTTAGTTTTGAACAAAAATTAGGTTTTTTGGGCACAGGTATGCAACATCACATGATAACAACATACTAAGAGTCAAGAAATGACTGAATACAGAGTAAAAAAAGTGATCAGTCTAGTAAAAAGGCTGTGAAAGCAGTGCTATGAAGAGCAAAACAAATTGAGATTTCCTGTTCTTTGAGAACCGCTCCTGAGTAAAGCCTCATTTTGTGTTAAATATCTTGTTTCAACAAGTACCAAAATACATGTCCCATTAAACGGAAGAAAGTCCTTATTTGCTTAAAAAACGAACACGCACACACACACACATCCCCCAAACCTCCCCAGAAAACCACCCCATGTGAAACAAAACACACTATACAGTCAAGTATGAAATGCCTCCCTGCTTTGAGGCTTAAGACTAGCACTTCCTGTTGTTCTTTCTAGTAAGACCTGGACAAAATTAAGTCCTTCCCTAGAGGATTCAGTATCATCCAATATTGCTGCCCTTTTCTGTGTCAAGACCTACACATAAGACTGGAGAGGGTGCATAGTAAAAGTATTTTGAATCTGTCAGTGTTTTAGAAAACTAAGCTCATTAAAACACAAGTATTTCAGTGGAGAGATATTATTTAATGCAACTGTGTATGAGAATGCAGTTAAACGCTGTTAGCATTTCTGCATGTGCTCAAAAGAAGCAAAATCTGTTGCACAAGAAACTTCAGTTTTGTCTTTTTCTAACTTTGAGTTTTTGAATTTGTACCCAATACTAGCACAGGTGTGTGTGTTTCATAATCACACCTAAATTTAATTTAGAAACTATAACTGAACTTAATCTGTGCATCATTCAAGTCTACTCTTAACCATATTGTGCTAGTGTATCTCACTGAGGTTTTGACATATATCACTTAAGTTTTTCAGAAATATATTTACCCCTAAACATAAAACAGAAAAATGAGTTGAATAAAAAAAAACCCAAAACATACAAAGTACCAGTTGATTTTTCTGTTAGTTGTGTTCCACCTTGCAAAAAATACTAAAAAAAAAAAAAAAGATCATAGTAGTACACTATGTACCATAGGTATCCAACTAGAACTTACTATATAATCATTCAGTTGTCTTGCACAGTGCTTGCAACTAGATGGCAGCTTTAACTCATGTATGAACTATATATCCGGTTCAGTATAATTTGAAGACTGCGTGGTACTTTTTACAAGTATCAAAAGAAATCAGAATAAATATCTTGGTTTAAGAATTAACAATACTTTTTCAGAAAACTTTGTAAATTTTCACAAGTAGTGCATTTTTTTCTATTTTTTTACCTAGAACATGTACAATAATTTCACCGCATTTTCATATTGTGTAAAAGTTGTAGAAATAAGTAAGCTCTGGGAAGAGGCATAAGATAGTAGCATTTACCTGTTCTACAGAATAAACTACATTCATTGCACCACGGTAAATAGCTTTGTAAATGAACTTAAAAAATATGTTTAAAGGTTTTTCATTACTTAATAATAGCTAATAATATCAGAAACTAATGAAGAAGAGGCTGGACATGGTGGAGAATAACAGCACTTAACAGAGACTGTAGTGTTAAAAAAGGATTTTAAACCACTGGAGTTTTGCTAATACACGATGTTCTCAAAGATATCACATCAATGAAGAAGATTCCACTTAAAGTCACACCAAGTGAAATAATTTGGAAGATACAGGCTAATCTAAACGATTGATTTGATTGACTCAAATCAGCTCACCTCCCTATGGGTTATGGACAGGTCTGAAAAGGTAATGTAAACGTGCTGCAGTACTGTTTGGCCTAGGTTGACAGTTCTCAAATATCTGTTCTGACATTATTCCCTGATTTACATAAATTAATAATCTTACTTTGTCAGAAGAGTTCCCTCCCACACACCTCAAAGATAGATGCATTGTTTATAATGACAGGGTTATTAGCACCTTTAAGGCTAGAAACAGTTGCACACCAATTAAAACTGTGACACAACACTAGCTTATCTGACTTAATTACAGTTAAAAGAAGTAAAGAAGTGTGACTCAAATGGTCACACTGACTAAGAAAGGGGATCTTTAATGCTCTGGATGGGAAAGAACAAGGTAGCATAGTTTAAAAGTACAAGGAGAAATTACTAGTTTTGAATGGTGACCTACAGATGCTTTTCACTTTTTAATAAGAAACATGAAGCCAACCATTGAGTCCCTGTTGACAGTTATGAGTCCACCTCAGAAAAACAGGGGGTTTCCTCAGGCAGTAGGTCTGTACTAGAAGGAGTGTTTACATTTACTCTAGCTTTCTATTAATTAATGGGTTTAAATGTTGGTGTTTGGGAGGCTCTGTTCTTAAGTTTTTATTAGCTAACATATTGAAGGCTATGTTTCAAATACTGCAAGAAGGCTATTGGCAGCAGTACACCTAACAAGTCAATAGTTTGGTTGGCATCTAGCAGTCAGCAGCAATTTATAGATAAACCAAATAAGGTGTTATGATGGCATTACGTTGTTTTCTCGGTTTATATTTTTGGTTCAGGAAAGAACTAAGTTCTATCTCTTGCTTGTCTGAGTCCCAAATACCAGTTCAACAGCAACCCCTGTCTTCCATCAGGCTGATTAGGGCTTCCTCTGCCCCATCCAGTCCTTTTTTACCAGGATGGGATAGAAAAGAGGGATCTTTACACAGAAGTAGCCTGCTCCAGTGCTGAAGCTTGAGGGCAGTGTGCGTTACACCCAGGCAAGAGGCAATCTGGCCCTGACTACCTGGAAAGTCATTTCCCCTAATTCTGCTAAAAGGCACTCATAAATAAAATTAATTTTACCAATACCAGGTCTGAAACTGATTTCATAATATGAATCAGTTTTCATATCTTGGTGATAAACTAAACCCATCTTTAACAGAAACCTAGTAACCTGCATTTTTCCTGTAAGTTGTCTCTATTTTAGCATTAGATTGGCTTTTATATTCCTGTTACTTAGTTCTAAATGTTATATTGTTAGCTTTCAAATATGAATGCCTGTCCTCTAATACAGCAATACAAGAAAATTTCCAGCCAGCAGAAGCTTAAGCAATTCTATGCTACAGAATTAATGCAGAGGAAATTTATTCTCCTTCCTCAGATCTTTAACACATTTGTTAAGCTACTTAATAAGTACAAGTTCATACCTACAAGTGTGGTATTATCAGGATTTTTTTCAATTTTCATGAGCACTTCACAGGTTTTTATAGCACACAGTGTACAAGTAAAGGTGTATCACAGTTGCATCTCAAGAGTGTGGTTATGTATTTAATCTATGTATGTAGACTCCATTCCCTAAGGGCTTCATCTCTAGTAGGACATAAGTAGACTTCATATAACAATACTGCACCACTCAGAGTTTGTATCAAAATCTGAGTGTAAGAGCTAAAAAGGTACAGAAATTCCTGAGCATGCACAATGCCTTTAGAACTACAGTGCACAGAAACAGTCACCGTTAAGTGATTCACGTTCTCACCCAGTTTGCCAAGTCCATTTTTACTTACATGATCATATTTAATATTTGGTTATTCACAGGGACATGATAACTGGGAACAAAAGAATGGTTAGCATTTCTTCCATCATATGATCATATGTTCAGAACATGTTTGGGATCATGTGATCATTACCAATCTACATTTGGGCATCAACAGACCTAGGAAAATGTATTGCAGTAAGATGGCATTAACACGTACTGACAGATAGTTTTGACATACGTTTCCCCACATTTAGGCTCTGCTTGAATTGCCATTTCAGTGAAGTTCCTCCATACAAAAACGAGGGAAAAAGACTAAAGACTTGCAAAAAGGTACATTGGATTCCATTTGACACTAACTTACTAAATTCAGCTTTCAAGAAAACCACTTTAATTTTTATCTGAATTAAACAGAAACCACTTTAATGGTGTCATTAGTACTACAATTATCTATTGTCACGTGTAGATATGGACTTTCAGGATCAGCAGAATAGATTACAAATGCACATCTCATTTTCTGACACTAATCTGTAGATGAAATACTCAAATAATAATCTTGAGTTCTATTCCAAGTTGGTTAGTGTTTACATAGCATAAACTACAAATTTCTTTCTAGTTCTTAGAGCCCTGAGTGCCCAGGAAGGGCTCTTTAGTCTGCTTGATGAAAATCTGTGTAATTTAGCCAGATCAGAGTTAAACTTTCTTCACAGTTTTTTGTTATTGGAAGCCTGAATTAGCATTAACTGATAAATATTTTGTATATGTAAATATTTCAAAGTGAGAACATAAGTATACATAAGCATACGTTTTCTCAGCAATTTAAATTGCTGAACTCCCAAGAAGTGTCAGTTTTCATCTATGTTGCTCAGTCTGTGGACACAGAGCACATAAACAGAGCTTTAAAAAAAAAAAAATCAAATTGAAAGAGTACATAAGCCAGTTCTCATAAAATGGTAGTTTACATGCAATGAGATGCTAAGTGCAGGCGATATAATTTTACATTTTTTTGTTGTTTCCTACAGATTTGTGTCATTTTAGAAGTTGTTAAATAAAATCTCTGGTAATGAAATTAAATTATTCCTTTCTAGCGTTAAAATATTTTATAAGCTCAACATCTGAGTGTATGTTTGCTTCTTTGTGAATTCTACAGACAGTGTTTTGTAGTTTCCTCTGCTATTATTCCAGCATTTCATCGTGCCAAAAACCACCACAGGTTTCAGGCACTTCATTAAAAGCATGGACATGAGCACAAGCTATAGCATTATGTAAAGCCTTGTATTTGTGAATTGTTATAATTAGAGGCATAACTGTTACATTCTTTTAAAACACAGGTTGTTCTCAAGCCTAAGCATTATCACAGAACTAACTCACCCAGCCAATATGAGATTCATGCAGTTCAGAGCCAAAGACTGCTATTCTCTTGCTCTATCCAAATTGGAAAAGGTAAGGAGATTTGCCTCCCCCGCCCCCAATTTAAATGTTATAATTTTAACACTTTCTCTGATCTTGTAACAATGCTTTCAAAACAAGTGGAAACAGTGAAATGATTTTATGGTTACAGAGCTAATGTAAGAGATTTTTTTTTTTTTTTTTTTTTTTTTACAAATTCTGTCTTTATTTAAGAATGAGGTTTGATTTGATTTCCATCACTTTACAATACAGTATTAATCCACCAACCCTCTGGACAGAGGCGGACACAATTTGCTCAAGGAGAATTGAATATTTTTGGATAATTGAATAACTGACCTAATATGAATAACTGACCTAATATCCTAATATTTGGATAACTAACCAAATGCGGTTTTCTAGGAGGCTGCCACAGGCAATTAATGTTGACATTTTTTAATTAACTAAACACTTAAAACATATACAGCTTTTATTACAATGCAATTTTTATTCCAATTCACTTTAAAGGCACTATGATTACATATTCTATATACATTCCCATGTGTCTGCATATGGGGTATTTGCATTATTGTGACAGTTCGAGAACAGCAATTGTTCCCTGTCAAAGGGCAGCCCTAGTGACAATAGGGAAAGTAACACTACTTAAATGCTAGATAAAACCTGTATGTTCTATACATTCTAGTGCACGTGTTGGCAATTTCAAGATGTGGAACAGGGAGGCTATATGGAGAGAAGTTTAATTTAATTTACTTGTCAAAAATACTATTGCTAAAACATTAGATGTAGCATACGAAGTAACTTTGTGCATCTGTTTAACTTGGTAAATTCCAGGACAAGCCTCTTTTTTGCAGATCTTATTTAGTGACCTGACCTACCTACCTCTGTAGTCCACAAAACTTACAGAATCACCTTCATGATCTTTCAGGCCATTTTCTGAGTTTATGAGAGTAAGACAATATCACTGTGCCAGTCTTCAAGGACTGAGGTCTTTCACTCCAATAAAAGACTCCAGTGAAAGACTTTCACTTTGCTATCAATCTAGATATTATTGCTAGGTTCTCTCGGGTAGCCTCCCGATCTCTTCACCTCAGATACCCTACATATCTCAGCAAATTTGAATTCATGCTAAAATCATTATCATTATACAGAATTAGCATATAATTTCCATTTCGTACCTGTACAGTAAATTTCCTAGATTTTGAAGATTTCAGACATTTCACTGAATTTCAGATATTTCACTATTTACTGTATAATGTTTACTTAGTTATTTTCAATATATATTTAATGGAAAACAGCCTTTTCATACAAACTTATCTTCACAGGCCAGCTCCCACTTTCTTAGACAGGAATTGAATTCTGCAAAAATCTAGCCTGTCTAGATGAGATAGATAGGATAAGTATTAGAAGTCAATCTTTTACTCAGTTGACTATCATGTTTACATTTTGACTACAAGATGTAAATACCTAAAATAGAACAAAGGCTTAATCTTATTTAGGTGGTATTCCGATAAGTACAGAAAATGGAGAACTGTGAGGAAGCTAAACAAAAGTTGTTACACAAAGAAAGGAGCAATTTGCAGTGGGAGGCACATGTTCATTTGGGTTATGCCGCTTCCATTATCCATTAAGGCTTACACCTGTGGCTTCTCCATTTTAGCACTCCCTCCCTCAATGGTACCTTCAGGAAGAATAAGGTGGAACTGGCTGGAATTGTGCAGTGCCAGTTTATATAGAGCAACAGGTGCCAAGACATGGATGGTCCCCTCAAGACTATGTTCCAACCTAACTTAGTTCCTTGGTGTACTATAACTGACAGCAATTTTATTCTTTTTTTTTTTTTTAAACATATTCCCTTAATCCGTACAGTTTGGTGATAAGGGGAGGTAAGAATAGTAACAGCTTTCTGAGATTGTGGTGTCTACAGTTGCTTCTGGAATACTCTGTGGGCTGTAGCCTGTCTACTTCAATGCAGCCAGACCAGGATTTGTATCACAGTTCTCTTCCTTGCTTTACATAGGCTCCTTCATTCTTCTAGCAAAGGTTTGGGAAATCATTAGAAATATTACAACTTCTTCCCTATGTTTATTAATTTATTGTGCAAATGTAAAGCTGTGAATACAAGTTGGAAGCTGAACAGTTAATTAACTTCCTATCCAAACTATGCTATGCTGAAATATAGGTAGATAAATGATCTTAAAGAAAGAACATTTTCTTCATTGCTGCTGAAGTTGCCTGCTGTTGATATTTCCCACTCATTTCATCTTAACATTTGCAGGGAGCACTTCACAGGTGGTGTTGTAGTTCATTTGATGTTTCAGAACTCCCTCATGTAAAATGAAAGGCAATTAAAAACTTGAGTAAAAATTATCTAATGCAGTCAAATGTACAGTTGATTGTTATTTCTGCATTAAGCACCTCATTTTCAGACAGACTACAAAAGTCAGGCAAGTTGCCTTCAGGTAGTGCTGAAACACACATGCAAAACTGACTTTTCAACCTAATGGGCTGCAGAAGAAAGATATGCAAATCAGAGAAGTCCATCTGCTGTTGCAGCTTCAACTTTCCTCATTTTGGAGATAAATCTGAACACCAGACTCAGCGCTGACATAGGAGAAAGCAGTGGCCCTTATGCAACAGAGAAAAGGAAAAACAAAACACCCATGGTCCAAATTTAAAATTCATGTTCTCCATTCGACTTAGATAAGAAAAAAATAGTTAAACACTCCCTCTTTCTTGAAAGAAAGGGTTTAGTATGTCTTGGACAAGAATCATACTTTAGTTTTCTATGATTTTTTTTTTAATTTATTTTCCAAGTAAATATCGCGGGCATTAGCTGAAGGATAAAAATTCGAAGTCTTTAAGTGATCATTTAAAAACACGTGCAAACTCCTATATCTTTTAATCAAACCAATACTGTGATTTTTTTTTCCACAGGATAAACACATACGTGTTAGGTGAGAGGAAATCTATCTGGGATAGCCTAGTATATTTGCAGAGATATACCAAAGCCAGGCTGGTTTTTTCACCTTCAATTAAGGATAGAGCATGCTGCCCCTGTTTGTTTTCAATATGGTTCAGGTCTTAAGCAGATTTGAAGTAACATTAAGTAATAGCAAGCAATAATGATACATGGGTTATAAAAAATAAATTGATACATCTTAATTGATGTCTTATTTTAGATGGATCTCTAATGATTTAGATCAGCTACAGTTCTAAAACTGTATAAATAATCAGCATATACATTTGGCTGTTGAACTGGCAGGGTTTTAGAAAGCTGTTCCAGATCAATAACAGAAAATGAATCTGTTCTTGCCCAAAAGGTAGAAACAGAATCAATTAAGAGCACACAGTCCAAAATATTGTAAACTTTTTTACACCTAGAGGTGAAGTGTTATTGATCCAAGTTCCCTTACGTCAGGAAAGGTACTGTAAAGAGGTTTCCATGCCCAGATTTCTGATCACTCTTATACCTGACACAGGCAATAACCAACATTTACTAAAACTAACAGTGCACCAACTGTTCCCCGTAATAAGCCACTACTACCTCTGTCACCTTGATATGTTCTTGCATGATCGCTGCCCCCCTGCCTCCATATCCTTGTATGTTTATTAAAGCAACTTTGCATTGTTTGTGCACAACATGTACAGTCTTATCACGGCAGCTCCCATATGACTGTCTCTATCAGAGGATAATATATTAAATCAAGATAGGCCCTAGATCTCTTTGAACCACTGACAGAGTGGCCAAAACAGGGCTTCATGTTAGTTTGGGGTTGGTACTTTGTTACTGATATTATAGAATTAACTGTTATGAAGGAATAGGTATTTATTTAGAAATAGAAAAAAGATAAAACCATGATAAAGAACCCTAAAAAGGATTTGATACAAATACAAATAGAAGTAGAAAAGAGGGAAATAAATAGAAAAGCTTATGAACTTGACCTTCTGGACAAATATTCTCTGGTATTCTGACAATATAAAAAACCCCAAAGGAAATAATTAATCAACTTCAAATGAAATTGAGCAGCACATGCTAACAACTCAAAACCACAAGTGTACACTGTTATTACTTAGAAAGAAAGCTCATGACTTGAGCAAAGCCACAACCACAGGAAGACTGAGGGTGAAGTAAAGATCTCCACCTATTAATAGCTGTGTCTTAAAATGTCATCTATATATGTGAAGTTCTACAGGACATGCTTATGTCATGATCTTTTATTTATGTTCCTAGACATGATCTATGATTTTCTTTAAGTAGTTATATTCCCTTCCTCATTAATTCCAAAAAGTGTCAGGGAAGGAGCTGCTGTTGCATCACACTGTGAAATAAAACTGCTGGGGCATTCTGGCACATTTCTGGCTTCTACAGCCACAGTATTCTCTGGGAATCAAATAAGTCTGCAAGTAATAAAGCAGAACTCAATCCAGAGTGTCTGAGTAAAAACTGTATTTCTCACAAATCTCTTGTAAGCAAGAATAAAAAAAAAAGCAAGCCTATAGTAAGAGATGGAAGGAAACGACATAAGAAATTTAAAATTAAGGGGGACAATAAACTTTTATGCTTCCATTTTAAAATAAAACAAATCCTTATGTTTATCATCAGAATTTTGGAAAAGAATCACATTATTCCCCAAGTATCTCTTGCCTTATCCCACCTTTCTTGGTACAAACCCAGAATCTGCTGCAAATTTCTCCAAACAGATGGAAGAATAAAAAAAATACCTCAGTCACACGATGGGAGGACAATCACTTCACAGCCAGTTCCCTATGAAATATTTTATGGCATGAATCTAAAAGGATTTAATGTAATGCATGCTATAATATGTATGTAGTTTTAATTTTGAAGTATTTGTTGTAAAACAAATCTTACAATATTTTCCATAATTCTCACATGAGATTTTATTCTCGATAGCAATTGAGGAAAGATATCTTCTACATTGTCTGTCTGCACTAAAAGAAAAGCACTCAAATATATGAGATCGAACTACAAAAGAAATACATAAGTTCTTGTTTCTGTGGCTTACACCAGTAAGCACAATGGTATGCTTATCTAATGTACAATTAGGCTGATTTCTTCTTCAACTGTCAGAAGCCCACAACTTGCTAGAAACACCCCTTTGCTGCTGAGCCATCAAAGCATGCACATGTGTGTGAGAGCATGAGTGTATAGGCATGCATGCATTTCTCATGGAGAAGAAACCCTAATACAAGAGCTGTGGTTTAACCCAGCAGGCAGCTAAACACCATACAGCCATTTGCTCACTCTGCAACCTCTGCCAGCGGGATGGGGGACAGAATCAGGAAAAAAAGGGGAAAAAAAAAGTACATGGGTTGAGATAAAGGCAGTTTAATAGGACATAAAAGGAAGGCAAAATAATAATGCTAAAAGTATACACAAAATAAATGATGCAAACTGCAATTGCTCACCACCTGCCAACCGATGCCCAGCCAGTTTCTGAGCAGTGGTCACAGCCCCCTGGCCAACTCCCCCTGGTTTATATACTGCACGTGATGTCATATGGTATGGAATAGCCCTTTGGCCAGTTGGGGTCAGCTGTCCTGGCTGTGCCCCCTCCCAACTTCTTGTGCACCTGGCAGAGCTTGGGAAGCTGAAGAAGTGCTTGAGTAAATATAAACACTACTTAGCAACAACTCAAACATCAGTGTTATCAACATTCTTCTCATTCTAAATCCAAAACACAGCACTATGCCAGCTACTAGGAAGAAAATTAACTTTATCCCAGCCAAAACCTGGACAACAAAGCAGTAGTCAGAACACAGAGAATGTTTGGAATAAAAAAAAAAAACACCCTGAAAAAAATATTATATTACCTTAAAAATTTTGAAACCCCTTTAATCTGAAGAGATTGTCAGAGGTGACATTTTATAAAGGACATATTAGTGTCATATTTTTAAGAGTTATTTGCTGTGTATTTTTATCTGGAGAGGAAATTCTTTGTGTGTGATGTCTTTTTCAATTCTACTAATATGAAGCCACAGAAATCAGGTAGAACCAGACTATCCAACAAGGACAAACAGGGTAGAATGCTGCTGTTCAACAAAACCATTAGTTAGAGCAGACTGCTAATGTGCATATCACAGAATCAGGGCATGGTTAGGGGCAGAAGGGACCTCTGGAGGTTATCTTGGCTAAGCCCCCTGCTCAAGCAGGGCTGCCTTGAGTCGGTTGCCGGGAACTACACCCAGAGGGGTTTTAATTATCTCCAAAGAGGGAGACTCCACAACCTCCCTGGACAACCTGTGCCAGTGCTCAGTCACTCTCGCAGTAAAAACATGCATGTTTCCTGACGTTCAGAAGGAACCGACTATGTTTCAGTTGGTGCCCATTCCCTCTTGCCCTAGGCACCATGGAAAAGAGCTTGACTCTGTCTTCTCTACACCCTCTCTTCAGGTATTTATACACACCGATGAGATCCGCCCTGAGCCTTCTGTTCTCTGGGCTAAACAGTCCCAGCTCTCTCTCAGCCTTTCCTCAGAGAAGAAATGCTCCCGTCCCTTGATCATCTTAGTGTTGCTTTTCTGTCCTACCTCCAGTAGCTCCTTCTCTCCTTGTATTGGGGAGTCCAGAACCGGACACAGCACTCCAGGCATGGCCTCACCAGTGCTGAGTAGAGGGGAAGGCTCACCTTCCCACATCTGCTGGCAGCACTCCTCCTAATGCAGCAGAGGACACCATTTGCCGCCTTTGCCACAAAGGCACATTGCTGGCTCGTGTTCAACTTGGTGTCCGCCAGGACCCACAGGGTCTTTCCTGCCAAGTTGCTTGCCAGTCAGTCCATCCCCAGGATGTACTACTGCATGTATGTGGTGGATGCAAGTGTCTCAATTAGAAGACATGTAACACTTCTGTACTTTGAGAACACTTCTTATGCTTCATGACATCTCTGAACTGAAAGCTTAATATTTTTTCTCTTCTTAAAGTAACAAAATCACTTCCAACCTGTAGTTTTACTCTCTGATAACTGAAAGAATAGGAAGCACATTGTGGTGTGATTCCTCTGCAAGTGAGATGCGATAAGAAAAAGGCATAACTATAGTTACCTTTTTCTGCATCACTTCTCCATAAGCATCAGAGCAAGAATTTTCTACCCCAGTCCACGTCTGATCTCCTCACACTCACTGAAATACTATTTCTTCCTTTTTGCGTCAGATTCTGTTCACGTTTCATGTTCCTGTTCCTAGTAGACTTTCTGGACCTGAATGAGGGTCCACTGTCAGCACGAAGGAATTGGAACAGGAATAACAAGAGCTTTGCTCAGGCACAGTTGAAATCACTCTATGTTTTTTAAAATGATCTGGTAGAATATGCCCATGCAATTTGAGATGTGATGATTGAAACAACACGTGCATTAAACAAAATCTTTCAACCTGAAAAACTGTAAGTACTGAACAAAGATGCTACATATTTGTAGAAAGAAGGTATATTCAGAATAAAGGGATTTTACACTTTTGGCCTCTTTTAAGGTAATATCAATTTGATGTTTTTATTACAGTCCTTCCAAAACCAGCACTAAAAGCATTTTCTATTCTTTAATTCCTTAACAGAAAGAGCGCGAAAAGGGATCTAATCTGGCATTTATGTTTCGACTGCCCTTCGCTGCTGGCAGGGTTTTCAGCATCAGTATGTTGGATACGCTGCTTTATCAGGTACTATAAGCAATAATGTGACTTATCTTAACACAGATATGCATTGTTATCATCTATTTTATTATACTTAATTGTTAGATGACTCTGTTTTCCTACATGTCAGCCACTAATGTGTGTGTCTGTAGTAGGAACAACCAAAGGCAAAAGATAACGGAGCATGTTCCGCGTAACAGTACTAGCTCAGTTATCAACCCCAATATCACCTGCCTTGCACAAATTTTGTTGCTAAACAGTGTAGTACTGTTTGTGAATCTCTCCACAATCAAATAAGCAGGATCGTTTCAATAAGGCCTACATAAAATGCAGATTATACAGACTAATAACACTTGTATTCTGCAACAAAAAGGCAGTGCCCATTCCCAGAAAGTAGTGTCTCTAACCAAGAAAATCAACAGAATTACTTTTGTAAGTAATTTATCAGTCATCTCAATTACTTCCTGTTCTCTTACTCAAGTCAACTAGAGGTCCAGATGACGAGTCATCATATCTTAAAGTAACCCATTCTGTCCCTAACAAGAAATATATGCAGCAGTTACAAAGAAACAGTGGGGGAAGAAAAGGCAGCACTAAACTTGTTGCTCAAGAATCCTGGACAGAGCTCCTCATACAAAAGGAAGTGATGACAGTCAGTTGGGATAAGGGAAGGACAACAGCCTCAGACAGCTGAAGAAACAATATATCAGAAAATATGGGGTCAGGACAAATGCAAGTAGTAGTTGCTGGTTTCAGGGGGGAAAAAGAAGAGAATATTGCCCTCGCTCCTCAGCAATTACCACCTTTCTGCACACCCTGATACATCAGGATGCCCAAGCAGCAGCCCCCCACACTAGCCTTCATCTGGCTTTGCAGAATAAGCAGCAACACCACCATGGCCCATGTAGTCTGCTCACCTAAGCAGCTACCTACTTTGCCTATACCTAGAGGGAGCCTGTGGATGCTTTTTTTATTCAGGTGCAAAACATTCTTTCAGGGGGATTGGTTTACTTGGTAATTTGCTGCATGAAAGGTGTTCTTTCATTGCAATTCTACTTCCAAATAAATTCCCTGAAGGCAAATTCAATGTAAATAGAAAAATCCTTGGAGCTAAGCTTTTCTCAAAAAGTCATTAGTATATAAAACAGTCATTTATAGGGCCAGGTACCAAAAGCAGATAAGACAACAGATGTTAAATAGTTCATCAAATTCTAGATGATTTAGAAATAAATGTATTGGTTTATAAAACATGTTTTTAATCATGTCCCAGAATATCAACATCACATATGGCAGAATTTTTTTAAAAAGTAAATTAAGAGAACTATATAGAAACAGATCTGTCATTGTCAACAATTCCTGCCAGCACATAAGTAACTTCAATATTTTATATTTGCTCCTAGACATGATCAGTCATGCTATGACTTGACAAGTAAAAGCATTCACCAGGAAGTGTTTAAAACAAAAAACCCCACACACTCATTCTCACTCAAATTCCACCCATTCTTTCTTTGAACTCCTACTTCTCAGGTGAACTGTCATTTTTCTAGAATTATCTTTCTTATCCCAAGTTACAAATTCTATGACAGCAAGTTCTCTCTGTTCCTTTTCTGTATGACATCTTTTTCTTCTGCATACAGAGCATGGGAAACAGCGGGGTTCACCTGGTGCTTCCTATTTTAGGCCAAAAGAAAAGCCTTTGAATTTTTTTTAGGACACTGACTGAAAAATGAAAACTTGGTCTAGCAAATCATTGTGAATACACTTGGTAATTTAATGACAATTCTACATCATAAATGATGCAGCCAAGATAACAAATAAGTGAAGGTTCTTTTCAGGAAGATGCTAATTTACCTTGTCACAACTGGAAGACTACCAGTATAAAAATTAAAATAGTTGAATCACTATGTAGCAAATTAAATCAGTCTAGCTTCAGATGCTATAACTCTGAAGGATTTATATAACACCTTTAAGTTATTTCTTCATGAAAACCGATTTGCTAGCTCCGTATTTGCATTAAGCCAAAAGAGCTAATTGCAAGTTGTGTTCCAACAAAGATTGATAGCCTGCCTTGAATGCTGCCCTACTACACCTAAGAAAGAGGTGGCCATGAACAGTCCTACCACAGTTAAAGCGCCCGCATGGCCCTCCGATTCCTGCAGCCCAACTCATAAGGAGTAGAAATATTTGTGATTTTACCTGATCTAATGTCTGTTCCTGGTCTTAGCCTACACTTCTACATTTAGCTTAATTTCCACCTTTTAACCACTCAGCAAAACACTCTGTTAGCAGATAAACATACCTGACCTAAGGCAGATCAACCCTTAAAAAAATAGATGGATTGGCCAAGGCAAATGACTCATTTGAATTAAATAATAGCAGTCTCACCTTGGTATTACGCACTACTCAGTACTGCAGACCCATCTAACATAATGACAGCATTTCTTTTGCACAGAGGAGTTCATTATTATAATTTCACACCTAATAAGGGCAACACCTTACTTCTAGTGATCTTAGATCTACATTCATCTTCACTTCCATGGTGCCTTATTACGCCTTAGTCTCTTTGAATCCTGTATGTACATTGCATGGATATGTAGAACCAAATAAGAAAACTTATTTTATGTATGTAGATTCAGCACAAAGAAAGGGATAGCTATTTCAACAGTGATTAAGATACTTAAAAGATAAAGAGATTGATTGCACACACAGATGTACAATTTCTTTGAAATTCATACATGGTGATAATGGTTACCTGCTCATCCATTCATTAAAGCTTTTTTCTTTCTTTTCCATCTCTCCTGTTAAAAATCTTGCAGTCATTTGTGAAAGATTATATGATTTCTATCACAAGACTTCTGCTGGGACTTGATACCACACCAGGATCTGGGTTTCTTTGTTCTGTAAGTTATTAAAAAAAAAATAAAAAAAAAATTGTTACAGAGTACCAGAGGAGATTCTGTACTCTCTGCAAAATATCTCTACCTTCTTTGTATGGCACTTCCTTTTGTGAAAATGCAAGAAAGGCCACCGGTGTCCTTTTTCACCAGGGGAGAAGACAAGAAAATTAGACAGAAAACACACCTCGTTTTAGCGACTTCCATAGCAAAAACCACAACCCACCCCTCCCCCCCCGAAGACACAATACATTCTATAACGCACTAAGAAAATTAGGAAAGACAGGAAAACACAGGACAAGTGCATTTTATGTGAAATATCAATGGCAGTTCAGCAACCAATTCTAAAAATTAAGTATATAAAACCCAGGAAGCACTACCTATATTGTACAACCTAGCTAGCACTTACACACAATGCTATTTCACAGCACCCATTTTCATCATAGGCAATAAAGGGCAGAACTGGGTTTTTACGTAATGATAAGATGTATTAGAAGACTGCAGTTCAGGTGTCAAAATTCAAAAGTCATCTTGTTATTATGTATGTCAATATTCCCCAATGTAGAGTTAATTTTTTATATCTATTTTATATGTATATACACACACAAAAAAATTAAAACCATTAAAAATTAATTTTTATTAAAAATAACCCCCCACCTTTCTGTTTTCTCCCACACCCCTCACACCCCAGATGGCAAACAGATAAATAGAAATGGAGTTATTTACCAGTTGCTTTCTGGTGAACTATAAAGAATTGCAGGATGTTATTCTCAAAAAGGAAATTATCAATGATGGTTCAAGAAAGTTGTTTAAGTAAAAAACAATTATGGATTTGTTGGTCAATAATTAAGCTTTGTAACAGTGAATGCAAGACCATCTAATCTCTGAAAAGGGACTTGCATATCTTGAGATAAAGCTAGTGTAATGCTAATGAAATACTTAATATTAATTTAAGACTTTCTTATGCCATTTATGCTTAGTGTTTTCTTTCCCCCATTCCCTTCTCCCCAGGTGCTCAGCCTGCAGGCTAGAGAACAGTTATCTAGCTTCATTCAAAATATTCACGTGTTCTTCAGTCTGTTCATCACTAGTTTCTTACTGCTACCGATATCTACTTAATTCTTTTATATTTTAGTTATATATGAACACTGGATGAAAGATGCCATAAGTTTTTAAGTAATTTTAAAACATGAACAGAAGTAATTTCACAAGACAGAACCATTTGCCTCCCAAACAGGGAGAGAACAAAAGAAACAATATCTACAAATGCAAGAGAAGTTCCAGATCTGTTGTGAAGCAAAGGTGCAATACTACAATATGATCAACTACCAGCTAGTGTTTAGTTTTAAAAATTTTTCAAGAGTGGTATAGTGAACAAGTGATAAGCCCTCAAGAGTTAAAAGTCCTCCTTCCTATTATTTGTTCAGATGAAAATCACAGAAGAGGACCTATGGATTAGGACATATGCCAGACTATATCAGAAACTTTGTTCTTCTACAGGAGACATTCCAATTGGAGTCTATAGGACAGAATCCCAAAAGCTTACAACATCTGAGGTATGTCAGTTTACTATACTTTTCTTTGGATTTGATTACAGAGTATACAACATTCTTTGGCCCTCATAGGAATGAGAACCACTTATTTAAAGAATATGGTGAATGCCATGTCTGCAAATGCACAGGATTCCAATAACGCACCGAAGGTCTCCCTCTGCTGACATGTATATGGTTGCATTAACCCAGGGCTCACATTCATCCCCAGACTTCATGAATACCCAGAGCCAGTCTACATACTAACTTTCATTCCTGTGCTCGCCTGCAGAGAACTGACTGATTGAAAAGAAGCGGCAACTCAGGCGCAGATGGGACAGGCTGGGATAGTGAGCTCTAGTCTGAACTTGCATGTGGTGACTAATGGCAGTACCCTTTACAGGAGGCATTTCAGCGTTCATGTGAATTTCTAGCTAGAAATAAGCAACAAGAGAATAAATTAATATTATTAAAAATGTTGTGGGATTTCTCTAAATTTAGCTGCCAGTGGTAATTTTTTGTATGCATGTATTTATGTGTCTGCCATATAAGTGTACACATTTCTCCCTATATTTATATACAAAGAATGACAAAAATACTTTTTCCTGACTATTTAACATACTTTTTTTTGTTTGTGCAGCTTTTATTTGTCATGTATAAGCCATTTGTTTACGTGACCATTAATACTGCCATCTCATTAAACCATGGCTTAAGAACAGCTCTAAAACGCAACAGTGAACAACTTTCTCCTTTCTTCTGAAATACTCAGACACAGTTTACTGCTTTCCAGGACAGACAGTTCTCTCCCATATTTCAGAAAAATGTTACAAAACATTAAGCCATGTAATTCATAACTGTAAGATTTATCCTGAAGTAAGTACAAACATTCAGTTAAAGTTAATTTAAAAATAAGGGTTACCAAAAGGTTTGCAAGTTCTAGGTTCACTAGTGTCTCTCTTTGTGGACCACCAACACCTTTATAGGTGGCTTTTACAGCTTAGCCAGTGGACTACTGTGCCACTGCAATAATGTCAGCTGATTTTTTAAAAATATAGCAACATTAACATAATCCATTAAAAAAGTCATTCCTTGGAGAAGAATATAGGCAGCATCACTGCTAATATGAAAGAAGTCTGACATAGCTTTCAACAAACCAGAGGACATGCCAGATTTTAAGAATTTGTTAAATAAGGATAAGTAAGATAAAACTTGTGGTGATGCTTTATTCTCACATTCACAGCTGGCTATTTAACTTCCAGTCCAAAAAAGACATATTATTAAGGGTGTGTTTTGGTTGCCTGTTTTTTTTTTTTTCTTTCTGCATTTTCACATGCTTTCAAATACACAGGCTGACTGGCAAACAGCATCTGTACAGGGGAGGGGTAACTATAAGAGTAATAGTCATCTTTTCTACAATTTTTTTTTTTTTTGCAGGGGGCTGGGCGGTAAGCATACACACTCAAATAAGTCTTCTGAGGCAAGCTTAACTGATAAATTAAAGATCATTCAAATGTTTTTCTGAAAACAAGGCTTGAGACCATCAGACACTAAACTCTAAACTAACAATTTTACCATAACATTGGAAACCTCTGGAGCTTGTACACATGGAGCTGCTTAATCAGACAAGGCCCAGATTTAGTTTAAAGTAGTTATTGATTATCTTCTACAAAGATGCGATTTCTTAAAATGGTCAGACAGTGAAACCAGCCTGGAAGCCACTGTCCAATAGATAAGAGGAGTTCTACTATTACTTCCTCCCAGCTTTCACAGGTAATCTCATTAAGAGTTAGAAGAATTAAGAATCAGGTAGAGGAAGAAGGGGGAAGGGGCAGGGAAATTTGAAATAAGTTTTCAAATTGTCAGGTACTGGACTAATCCGGAATCATGGCACTGTCTTTGCTTATTAAGTGAAGCAAAAGCGTTTACTCTTTTTAAAAAGCTCAAGGCTCTGAGTGCAGACCCCCAGTGGTATTTTCACACTTAAATACTTCAGCAGTTTCTCATGTAGTGGGTGAGCATTTGTGAAATTCTTCCCCCTTTAGAGAGGGGCAGGTAATCTTCCCTAACCTAGCTCTTCCCCCGAATACAAAGGAGCTATATCTAGCTCTGCTTCTGTGACCTTCATGGGTAGGTACCTACAAATGCAGAGATGCTGAAAGCTCTAATCTTTCTGCAAAGTGTTTCTTTTGAGGTTAAATGAATTTTTTACTAATTTCACTAATAAAATAATATGAGCATGGGCTATAATTTTTGCTTCTCAATATATTAAGCCAGAAAAAATGTTAAAATATTGTTGGATGAGATCTTTAAAATGGAAGTTAGAGAAATGTAAATTGCTATTTTTCTCAGGAATTATGAACTTCTAACCATAATTTGAAGGTTTCTAACTCAGAGAACCTCCAAAGTGCACATCAATTTGAGTTTAAACAGACATATAAAACTTAATTTGTATTTCACACACCGGGAAGCTGCCAGTTAATGGTTAACTTGAGCCACAAGAAAAAGTATGCCAATATGAATAATTCTTTATCTACAATTTCTCCTTTGACACCCACTTTTTATACTATGCAAATGAGAAGGCCTCACTTCACTCAGAGATAAATATAATTCCTTTGAAAAGAAAGCAAGTTTTCAGTGACCTAGTGACTAAGTAACAAGCAAATCTAGTGTGCCTCTCAATGACCTGCACCTATGACTCAAACCACTTCCACTTCATAAAAACAAAACAAAAAAGAGATATGAATTCTTCCTTACTACCTGCGTAGCTGATTTTCTGCGGTTGCTGTTAAAACGGTCCATGTTTGCTTCTTCAGATTCACTTCTGTTTAAATTGTCTTTTGTTTTCTTTTTCCCATTCCTTTGTCAGTCACGAGAAATGGCTTCACAAGTAAGTATTTGCTTAATGTCTGCCTGGTTCTGGGTGTCATGGTTTAAGGCCGGTAGGCAGTAAGCACCACACGGGTGCCTGCTCACTTCCCCCACAGTGCGATGGGGGAGAGAATCGGAAGGGTAGAAGTGAGAAAACTTGAGGGTTGAGATCAAGACAGCTTAAATTTAACTCTATCCCAGCCCAAACCAGTACACTAGGTTAAACCCTGGGAGTAAAATCCATACAGGAAATGGAACTATGCACTGCACAAACCTTGTGTAAATAAAGCTTAAAGCAAAGTTGTTCGGGATACAAACATCTTAGTAAAAATCTGAAAGCTGACAGACTGGGACTTTCAAATAAGCCCAGTGGAATTTGGTCCCTATTGGGCCTGACCCTACTGAATTCTGAAGATAACATCTTTTCTGGTGAAAGCCTTGATCCTAAACACCCTACATGCTAATGGACACACACACACACACACCCCCAAGTTTATCATAAAAGGAATATGTGGCTGCACTAACAATGGTTCAGACAGCTGTTGGAGTAGAAAAGCATTCCTAGAACCTTAGAAGCAATTAAGGGCTGTTGGTATACAGAAAAGTTATTTTAACATAAAACTTGCAGTTAGATAAAAATAAGGCATTGCTTCACAATAGAATAGATGAATCTGTACATTAAAACTGTTTCATATTTTATGCACTTAGCTCCCAGGGAGCAGCAAGGCAAAGGAACAAAGATCCAAGCAGCTCGTTGATGTTTGGTGTTGTAGTGCTGTTACCGCCATATTCACAGCCACCCTGACAATCTCAGATATGAACACTGATGTGTTCGTGACTACATTCTTGTTCCTGCCACATGATGGCCAACCAAGGCTATGTTTAAATAAGGGTGTGAAACATCCTCCACTCGAGCACCTGGAAAACCCCTGTGGGTAACAGATGTCCAGCAGCACAAGTGAGCAATCACACCCATTTGGGCACACAGTCTGATACATGAGATGGGAACCTGCCTTTAGAAAAACCAACCAAACACCAAGCCCTGAAATAAAAAAAAATGTTTAAAGGCAAACATTTCTTCACTTTATGTGTGACATACAGATTCTTCCCCAGTAAAAGTAGCAGTGATTATGTAAAGACTTAACATGCACCTTGGTATTTTCCAGAGATTTTACCATGTTTCTATTTTATGAAGAGATTCCTTAAAACATAAGATGATCAACTACTACTGTATAGTAGTAGTGACACCATATCATCCGTTATGCTTCTCATACAGCAGGCTTACAAGCTATGCAAAAAGGAAATTAAATTAAATTAAAGCAACCAAACCTCAAAATAAATTAATGATAGTTACAGAAGTATTTTTAAAGAAAGTCTGAAACCAATTAAAACAGAGGGGGACACACAGAAGCACTCCGCACTGGGCTTTTATTTTCTATGTATTAAACAGCTGCAACTGGCAGGCACGCTTTTGTGGTGCCTTTGAAAGAGGGCTTGGGTTTCTTTGCTTTTGCTTTCTCTTTATGAACAGTTTAATTTTTAACTCCTGCATACAGGGAAGGGCCATTCTGCACGCCTTTCTCAGCAGGCAGCATAAGAACTGAATAGTCACCTAAGTAAATATCTGTCACCTTCATTTATGGTTTCAACTCACCTACCCCAGTGTTTCAAAAGTTCAAGCTAAGGACTTACAGATTCACAGAATCAAAAGACTTGTTCTTTTACTTAGCCTCTTCTGAACAATCTCTGGCTCAAAAAATGTGAGTTACCCTCCTGTAATAATTAGGATGATTGGTCTCTGCCTTTCCAATCCTACTGCCAGCAAGTCCAGATAGTTATTTTATCAAGAGCTGGACAAGGAAAGCTAGCAATCAGACAGGAAGAAAGGCAAAACAAGGCCATCCCTTATGCTCAGTCTGTATCAGGTTTGTTCACACCAATAGACCCTTCCCATCCATAAGTAGCACCTTATCATATGGAATGTACTTTGCTTACCTTAACCCATACTGTAAAATACATGTACAACCAAAATGCCAATTTAAAATAACAAAACCCAACAAAATCAAAAAACATTCCTGTGCACAGGAATTCAGAGTTCTCTCTAATGCCCCACCCAAAATAACATCAGCTGAGTGAGTAAAAAAACTTCAAAAACTCATGTAATTAAAAAACCCCAAAACCTTTCTGTTGCAGACTAATCTGAAGAGCCTCAATAAATCGGCGCATCTTTGCATGAGGCTTTGTGTAAGATCCTAGCCTAGAATATCAAAAATGTGATTTTACTCGAAGTGCTACAATGTATGCATATTTATTGTTTTTTAATTATTGGTTTTGGTGGAGTTTGCGTTTGGGTTTTTTTGGTTTGTTGGGGTTAATTTTTTTTTTTTTTTTTTACACAAATAAAAGCTAGTCTGTGCAAAAGGGAAAAAAATAGTATCTTTCTCACACTGTCAGTCTTACTCATATCAAATATTATTATATGGACTCCGTAAACCTTACTGATTCTGTGTGGGAGAAGGTGCTGAGCCTCACTGATGACGACAACAGAATCTTGCTTTCAGATTTTATATTAATGGGAAAAGGGCTTTAGAACTCTGCTAAGAGCCTTCAGTAAAAGAAGAACCTTCAGTAGCTCTTCAGTTAAATTTGCTTTATTCACTGATAACTTTGAGCATACTGTGAACTCTTTCTGTTCTCGGGGAGCCATACAAACTGAGCCAGCTTCACTTTAAGTCATCTTTTTTTTTTATATATACTTCGGTTTTTGTTTTAAACACTCAAAACTGAAATCAATCACCAGTAACTTGGTAATACATGACTGTGCTGATACCAGCGAGGGCTTCCCTATTTCACTGACAATAAAAGATGTTTCAAAGGCATGTGCAACAATAACTCAGTATTATAAGGAAGCAGTTCTGAAACTAGAAACTAAAAGTATTACTTAAATGCAACATAGACATTAAAACAATTTTGAAGTTATGTTTTTAAATGTTTCCTCTTATATTCCCTATGATCTTTTTACTGCACATGTAGCCCATCCACGTGAGTTATTTCAGTACTGCTGTATGCATACACTATTGGTCATATTTGGATGGCATGATGAAAACACAGCAACAGAGGATCAGATTTTGGCCCTTAAGTCTGCTTCTTTTTGTTACTGTATGGGTGAAAAAGCAACATCACTGTGCTTTAAGGTAGGAGTTAAATACCTCATTTGCAAGAGGTGTCATGAATCACACCGAAGGCTACTGGATACATCCCTTTTTCAGACATGGAGACATTCCAGATATTATGTGCTGGAAGGTCAAAAATGCCTGGGAATTTGAGACACAGGTAACAGCATGTTCCACCTGTGGCCTTAAAAAGAATACTCAAAACAGCGCAGCCAAAGTTGAACTGTTACTTAATGAATCTGCAATATACATCTAAAAAGCAGTTACAGGACTTGAATTTCTAAAAATACGCAGACTTGGAAGAAAGTGGAGAAGTCATCCAGAACAGATTCCTAGATTCAGGAAAGACAGTATCAGAAGGCCAGAACTATTCTTCTTAGAATCATAGAATGTGTTGGAAGGGACCCCTAGAGGTCATCTAGTCCAACCCCCCTGCAGTGAGCAGAGACACTGCTAACTAGATCAGATTGCTCAGAGCCCAGTCCAACCTAGTCTTGAATCAAAATGGAATCAGGCACTAAGTAAAGCTTAACTGCTTTTTCACTTGAGAAACATATTTACATCATAAAAGGGCTTTTTACGTAAAAAAAGTCTAGTAAAGGGTGCCCAATTCAGGAACACTTGCTAAGTAGGAACAGCTGAGTCCTTTCAGCCCCATTGCAACAAAAACACACATTCAACTGCACTGTTGAAAAGAGGAGAGACCATCTTAATCTGCTTCCATTTCTTAAAGCCCTTAATCTCTCTTGTCATTTTTCTTTCAAGTCTCAAATCTCTATCAGTGTGGAAGAATGGGAAGACACTAAAGACACCAAAGAACAGATTAGTTATCGTAATAACCATCGTAACTCAACTTCTAGTGATCAGTCTGATCATCCCTTGTTACGACGAAAAAGCATGCAGTGGGCCCGACGGCTCAGCAGAAGAGTACCAAGACAGTCTGGTAAAACAGCTGAGAAGATAAACCAGCAGCGAATGAACCTTTACAGGAGGTCAGAAAGACAGGAGCTTGCTGAACTCGTGAAAAACAGAATGAAGCATCTGGGCCTTTCTCCAGCAGGATACGGTATGATTACTAGAATACTTTAAATTAATAAAAACATTAGTATTATGCAAGATGAACTTATTTTTAAGAATTGAGGGTGCCATAAACAAAATATTAAGTTTATGATAATGGTTTTGTTGGGGGTGGTGGGGGTGGTTGTCCCCCCCCCCCCCCCCCCCGAGACAAACTTGCTGGATTTTTTTTAATCAGTTCTATCATCACCCATTCCTATTTTCAGATGGAAAGCTCAGAAGGCAGCATGTCAGTCACATTTATATTTAGCACATCTGATATGTGTATGCAGAATATATAAACACTCCCCTGTGATTGAATAACTGTGCCATATTTCCACAAACTTGTTGAATATAGATGAAGACAGAGCTGCTGTGAAGTTCATTCGTATGTCAAGGTGGAGAGTTGCTTATATATGGAGGACACTGCATTTTCCCCACAATTTTTAAAATTATTGCCAAAGTGTCACGTCAAAATAATTTTTATGAAATGTGTTTCACTAGGTCTTCAGATGCCATGTTTATCCATCAAGTCCTTCTCCAGCAAGGATAATGCTGGTTGGTTTTTGGGGATTTTTTGTTTGTGGTTGGTTTTGGGTTTTTTTAAAGCTATTGACAAGAGCTCTGTAACACCTTTTTTTATTATATGCACCACAGCTGCCTGGGTTGCCTTTCTACAGCCTTGGCTCTGTAGAATGTTGCATGGAAGCCTGCAAGAACTATGGCTTCTCGTTTTCCTAGAAACACCAAGAATTTCTAGATCCCAACTTGTTTGTCTGCATAGTAGGTCCAATATGGAGCTTCTGCTTCAGAAGCATCAACACTGGGGTTCCCATACTCAATTTTCATTTGAAGAATCCAAAATGCACTGTTTTACAAATGTGTTATTCTTCATTTTTCAACACAACTATTTTTAAATTTGACTTATCCCTACAATATCCATTAACTGAAGGTAAATGTGGTATTTCCTTCAGAATGGATATTTTTATTTGTCCATTTTAACTACACACACACTTAATGCAGGGTCAAAACATTTTTTACGCCAATAGCAATGACTACCCAACAGTAGTTCTTATTGTTGCTATTGATACAAAATCAACTCAACTGTAAGAGAAGGCTGCTCCAGAATATATGGCTATAGTTTTGCTCACTCTTTACAAATTAGGTATGTAAATACAAGCTCTTTATCCCACACTCCAACTGGATAATTACTGTTCCTGCTTTCTTCATGGATACTATATGACTCTCTGCAGGAAGATTCAGGGCTAAATGTTTACAGGAGTTACACAAGCCACAGTAACATTTGATCAACCACAAATAACCGTAAATTTGATTCATATTTATACTAGTTAGAAGAAAACTGTTGTATTGCTGCTTTTATTTTAAAATCACAGTTAAAAGCCAACAGTAAGTGTTCATTTAATTATTTAAATTTAGGAAGATTATATACCATCTGCAGAACAGCAAAATCTTGATAGGTAAATGCTTCACCTGATTACATTTATCTGTCCTCGTTCTGATTTATAAATTTTCATGATCACTTCCCTATTTTCTTACAGATGCACCTCATTATAAAGGAAGCATCTACTTTTACAACGCCAGGAACACCCACATTCTGAGGGAAAAAGAACAAAACCCCTCAAAGAACCACAAACCAGTTGCATACATGCAGTCAGCTGCAAACCTGTGTTGTCACACTTCCACTGCCATCTTCTCCAGCCTCCCTCACATTCAGAAAGAAATATCAGAATCCTTTCACCTCCAACGAATGAAAAAAACCCAAACAAAAATCACAGCTGCTTATGTATCTGTGTATATGGGGGTGATCTCTAAAGCCAGTTTCACATCTTCAGTGTTCTTTTTACATTGATAACCTAATAACCTGTAAGACTTCCAAATTTAAATTCCATCAACTGAATTCATTTAAGCCAACTGAGACACAACAGTTTTGACTATGCATGCCTCTTGCAGAGGTGTGATGATGTTAGCATGGTGGCACAGGTGCTTGTATAACTAGTTACAATAATTTGCATCAGTTTCACCTTAGAGAAATAAGCTGTACTGTAAAACACCATTTTAGCTGTATAATTGTATCTATACTAAGAGTCTATGTGAGCTTATCTAATTGTTTTCTAGACAGAAGTACTTATGGTGGTGCAAATATTTGATACAAGCATGTAGAAAAATTACACATACAAGCAAATGCCCAATACAATAATTTTCAACCTCCAGACAGTATATCAAGAATACTTCATTAACAAAAGATTTAGGAATTGTGTTGAAACTAGAATGAAGCTGTTCTCTTTCAAATAATTTTCCCTAAAATGCTGAAGATGGAAATTAAAACAGAAGAAATGCCTCTCCTTTTTAGTCCTAACAAATTAAAACTAGTCTCAGTGCAGCACCCCGGGAAGCGTACCCAGAAAAGGCTGCACAAAAGATACTGCAATGACAGCTGCAAAAGTGTAGCAAGACTTGACTGGGCAAAAACCTTAAAAAAAAAAAAATTCAGTCAGCCTTCATTTGCAACATACCATCAGAAGAATAGTAAAAGATGCAAGAAATAAATACAAATTTCTGTTTATACAGCATTCACATTTCAACCATTTCCATCAGTGATAAAAGGAAAATGCTTACTAGATAAATATGGAAAGGGAACAAATGCTTATATTGACCAAATCTGGAAATGGATGAGAATGCCATATACCTGAATTTGAGCTTGCTTATCACTTGAACTCAATGCCAACTGAGGGTGGAAGACCCTGCTTCCCACAGACTAACAGAAGCATGTGATGGATGGGTAAATTACACTAAAGTTGGGTTGCATTCAGAATTGCTATGACTGAAAAAAATGCAAAAGTACATTTTTAGAATGTTTAGAAAGAAAACAGGATCTTTTGAGAGCTGATAACTCAAAAGATGCTGTGTTAGATAGTTCCAATTCAAGTACAGTTGAAAAGAAGTTGCTAATCTTATTTGAAATCCCTTTGACATCTGACACTTTTTGACAGCTCTATTAGTTTGTCAGAAATCACACTTTTCACAATTCTTTTGTGAATATAATTAATTTGGTATGGGTTTTTTTTTTGTCCTCTAGATGAAATGAACGATCATCAGAACACCCTTTCTTACATCCTGATAAATCCTTCTCCAGATACAAGATTAGAGCTGAACGATATAGTGTAAGTTAAAGCACAAAAAAAAAAAATAATAATCATGAGACCTGCAAAATTTCTTGTCTGCACTTTCTTTCTGAATTTATTTTATTATCTTTCTCCTGGAAAAGAACCCCAAACTTTCCCATGCACCTATAAAAAAATAAAAATATGGAGACTTCTATTTAAATAGACACCTAGTTATACATACTATACATTTAAAATACACATATAAATGCGTAATACATATGTTAGTAATGCTCTTACCTCCATATCCTCTCATAATCCTCTTAGTATCTGTATTTAAAATAGAATCTAACCAAGTCTGCTGGATAGCTTCACAGAATTAATATTCTCATTAAATTTTAAGCAGGAGCTTAACTACGCAGTCTTAAAAGAAAGATCAACCCTTCAAAATTGGTGTTTTCAAATGGGATTTTATTACATGGATTCAAAGATCATTGAAGTAAACAGCAGTCTTGCTGTAAATGTCATGTGATATTCACACCCAGGATCATTGAAATACAAATAGCAGGACCTTAACACAGGAATTTTTTTTGCTTGCTTACCAGGAATTTTGCAGACTACATGAGAAAAAATTGAACAAAAACTTGAACAGCCAAGAAAGTTTTCAAAGTCAAGAATTTTAGATAATCATCTGGCATTGTCTCATACTGAAGTCCAATACGATTCCTGTGTTAAGGTCTGGAGCCATTTCTGCCTCCAGCCTCTCCTGCCTCTGCCTTGCTATACTGACACACCCCATCTGCGCCACAGGAAAGAAGCCACGTAGCCCATTTGTGCAAGGTTCTCCGCATCAGTGCTGACCCGCCTTACTGCTTGCTCACAAGGAGGAAAACTGTTTGAATTATTAGTCCTCCTGACACTAAACCAAAATCATCATAGTGCTTTGCAGCCCGTAGCATATGAAAAGCATAGCATAATATTAACTGTATCAAACAGCAAAGGCAATTATCGTAAGATTTGTTGAAATTATTTGGAATACTATTTTCATTGTTATGGGACTCCACAGTATGATGTGTACTAATGTTTAACCCATATATTCACATACTGTTACCTAATCTACCTAGGTGAAATAGGTATCCTGCATTCCATTTTTCTTTCTTTGCAAAAACAAAGGTACTCAGCAATCCAATATTGCATAATTTTGCAGTGGTACTGAATTTGTGGTGTGCTACGTACACATAGGTAGCCTGTAAACATACATACTATTACCTACCTTGATGTATGTTCATTTCCTGATGCTTAATAAGCAGGCCTGTGTCCCAGCTTAAGCTCAGACTTTTTTTTTTTTCTCTTAAACCTGACACAAGGAACATGATCCTTGTACCTGGATACCAGTTAATGCTTCAATAACCCAGACCACTACTCTATCTGATTAGAGTTCTCTCAGCTAGGCAGCCAGTTCACCCTCAGTGCAATGGGGGATTATTAGTGGAGGGGCAAGGAAGAAGAGGTGGTTCTCTTTCTACTGTTCTCTTAGTCACAAATCCCAGAGCAGGTAAAAAGCTTTTTCTATTTGTCCTTTTTTTTTTGCTGACAAGCTGGAAAGCTACTTTTCCTGTATTTTTTTTCTCCCCTTCTTAATATATTTTGCAGACTTCCTCCAGCTGGTTACTCTTTCATCACACTTGTTAGCTGCACTTTTATGCCAACATGGCTTATTCTTATTCAAGCCACATATTTCTGTGCATATCTGTGAATATTTTGAAGCCAAAACATGTATTCACTTTAAGTCCTCTAGATGCAGCCTTCATTCTCTGATTTCCCATGCTTATACAACTAAGTCTTTTGCAGTCACTACGATCCTATTACATTTGTAATTGATCATGGGTATATCAGGTAACATACAGCCCTGAACCAGCACGTGAGAAAATTTTCTCAGCTTTTAGAGACAGACTGCACCCAATGCAGCATTTGCAGCTGTTGATTTCTCAAAAAGCTTTCTCGTTAGTCTTTGCATTTGTTAGCTTTACAAGCTAATCTTTAGTATCTTGAGTTGATGGAGCTTAAACGACAATGATCTCACTGTCTTTATTGAACAATTAAGACAAAAGCACTTACATTTCAAGTGATATGTTCAGACTTTGCCGTAATAACTCCATATTTCATCTAGCCTATTTGCCTTAACAAGTACTGAATAGCAGCGTTTTCATTCTATAACCATGAGATTTTTGTACCAAAACATGTAAAATTTTGACTCTCAGCAGAGCATGATGTTCTTTTTCTCTATCAGGGTTTAATACTTGCAAATGAAGGTTGCAGTAACACTCCTTGTTCTCTTTCATTCCAGAATTAGTACAATACATTCTGTTGCTAGCACTGTCCCTCTCCTTATTAAAAAAAAAACAAAACACAAAAACCAACCAAACAAACAAACACCACCACCCCCCCCCAAACCCCCAAACAACCCACACACACAAACAAAACCCCACTGCTGGCTGCTTGCTCCTTTGACATGTTTTTGGGGTTTTGTTTGGTTGGTTTTTTTCTCTGCAGATTAACACTCTCCTTATTTGCTCTGGGGTTGCTGTTGATTATGCCCTATAAAAACATCAAATTCAAAATTGCTATTTCAGTTCCAAGAGTTGCAATTGGGAGTTCCAAATTTCAGCACTCTGCAGTAACATCCAAAGTTCACATGTGGGAACTCCTATGCAGCACTGCTCCAGACGTGCTTAAGGGAGGAAGGTGACCACTGAGATTTGGCAGCTGTGACATCAGGGCAGTTATAAACCCTTGAAGCACTAGTCGTATGTTTGGGCTTCTAACAATTTTATCAAGGGGGGAAAAAAAAAAAAAAAAAACAAGAAA